GCCTGTCCTTGCTCCTGGCCAGGACGGTCCCCTCCTCCATGCTGCCTGCCATATCCACCCACTTCTGTCCTGGCATCTTGGCCTTCACCTTATGACAAAAAACCAGGCATGAATGTTATCGTTCGTTTCTTAAACGCCGAGTTGAAATCGCAAACTGGTGCACAAAACCAGTTTGACCAGGGAAGCGGATGACCAGGGAGGCGGCCGGGTCCGGCTAGAAGCAAGCCGAAGCATACCCAGGACACACACTGAGGTGAGCTGTTCCCAACAGAGTCTGAGACGACACCAGACGATACCAACTTCTGGTCAGGAAGAAGACAGGACGAACAGAAAGGGAGAGCGAGGAGGGCCTGGGGTGGCAGTTGTGCGGTCTCCTCCTGCCACATGAGCCTTGTGACACTGCCCTGCTGGGGGTCAAGCACAGGTGAACATGGCCGTCTTAGATGGTCCAACCTAATACCCACAGACTTGGCTGTGGATATCTGAGGGGGCTTCCAGGGAGCCTCAGTACGCTGGCTGTGCCCAGGACCCAGAGCAGCACCTGCCGACACTTGGCCGGGCTCTCCCCAGCTGCCCGTCACAGGCTCAGTGGGGACAAACCCCTTCTCCTCAGGTCTGGGGTTCTCTAGGCAGAGGATGAGCCTCTGGATCTGCCAAGAGCCTCTAAACGGAGTGTCAAAAATGAACAGYGAACGCCACTCCAGAGGTCCAGACGGCCCTGTGAGGGCGCACCAGGCCTGGGGCCACAGTCACGTTCAGACCCCATGACACGAACACAGGACGTGAGTCATTTTGTCATTCAAATACCAAAAGGAACCTCAGTGCATCACTTAGAGACCCAGCCAGACGCAGCCATGTCTCCTCTCCTCCACAGCCAGCTCTCACCCTGGAGGGCCAGCAAGGACATCGAGGTGGACAGCGCCTGGCCATGGCCTCCCCACTRTCCCGCATCTGCTAGCCCTCCTTCTGCAGGTGGAGGACATGAAGCAGAAGCTGGAGGATGTGGAATGAGGCAGCCCATCAGGGTCGAGATCTGCACCTTCCCAGGCCCCTGGGCAGCAGGGAGGTTGAAMCTGGTGGACACCCAGCCACAGCTGAGCTTTCCCCATGGCCCAGCAGCCTCTGTCCTGGTGGAGCAGGGTCACAGGGCCCCTTCCCTTAGGCCCTGGGAAGACCAGTTCCCCTTGCGCTGGTCTGGCTTGCAGATACTGTGCCAGAAATGACGCTGGACTCCTGTCCCTGTGTCCCTGTAGCCCAGAGTTCACCACCCATCGGGACCAGGGTGACAACAGTGAAGCCCAGCAGAGAACAGGGTCACTGTGAAGTGGGCAGAGGTGAAGCCAAGTCCTCCTGACGTGCGATCTTCTCCCTCTCCCCAGCCAAGGCATCCGCAGGCCCACACGGGTCCCAAGACGTCTGGCTGCTGCGTGGGCTGGTGAGGTCAGCACCAGGGAGGCAGAGGCAGGCCCAGCAGCTGCCCCACTCCGCCCCCCGTGGTGCAGAGGGCAGAGCCTGCTGGGCTCCACAGGCTTGCCTCAGCGCTATCCTCTCTTCCCTTCATAAAGCTAAGGGAATGATTTTTACATATTATCTTCTTTGACATATTATTCAGCTATTAATTAAATAAATAAGACTTGCTGTGCCTGGACTCCTGGCTCACCTGGAGGCCTCGTGCACAAAGACCAAAGCAACATGTGGAAGGACATTTATTCTGAAGCCACTCATGGAAGGGGCACATCCAAAACCACAAAGACGTGCGCCGTTGGTGGGAAAGCGAACTGGCAGAGCCCTTCAGGTCACAGCGTGAGGGCCTCTCCAGGGCTGGGATGGAACTGCCCCTCTCCAGCATCCCACTGGTCCAGAGCCTGGAAGAGCATCCACACCCAGTTCACAGCAGCCAGGAGGGCGCACTGGTGGCCCCGGTGGCTGGAGCGTGAGTGGGACGTGCAATTTCGCATAGTGGGGTGCTGCTCCGCAGGAAAGGGAAGCAGAGCCTGCAGCTGCCGCCCCTGGATGCCCTGGGCCCCGCCCTGAGCCCGTGGGAGAAGTACAGCAAGGGTGACTCACTTGCTTGAGGTCCCTGAGGCCCAGGCAAAGGAGACCACCTGAGTGGGCCTCAGCTTGCCACCTGGAGAGCCCCGCGCCTCTGCAGGTGGGGTGCTGAGGGTTGTGCAGGGGCCTGACTGTGCCTGAGACCTCAGACGGCGGGGTTAAAAATGCAAATGCCGCACGTGTCTCAGGGCAACTTAACACAGTGCATGTGAATTTAAGGGTGTTCTAAGATTAGACACATTAAACACGGTCTTCGCCTGCGTGCCCTGAGCTGCCTCACTGCCACAAAGGCACCTCAGGTTTAGGACACACAAATGTGTGACTGGTCGGGGGGATGCTCTGCAGCCCTGCCAGGAGGAGCACACAGTGTGCGCCACGTGCAGCTCCAGCCAGGAGCCCAGACGTGCCTGACCTCGGCAGGCAGACTGACAGCCTGCCGCGTCTCGGGAGAGGCCAGCAGGGCTGCAGCGGGATGACCCCTCCCCGGTGGCCAGCATGGCCAGGTCTTGCCCTTGCCCTCCGAGCCCTCCTGGGGCAGGAGTCACACTTCTGGGTCATCTGGAACCCAGAGTGGCCTGGAAGCTCCCACGTCTCCTAGGATCCTGAAGGATGTGGTTCTGCAATCTGGACTCTGGTGCACACAGAGTGGGTCCCAGGACAGATATGGTTCTGCGGAACTTGACAGTCATCGACCCAGGTGAGAGGCCACGGCAACCCAAGACAGCCAGGGCACACTAATCAGCAGGCCAGAACTGCTGAGGACTGGCCACTGCAGCTGATCAACACTCAGAAGAGAGTGCTCACGCACCCATCCTATGATCCATGACCCAGGTAGAGGCAGATACGAACAAGGACACGAGTATGGACATGCACAGACTTATCGACATGGCCATAAACAGACACATACACACAGCTAGACAGAGACAGAGAGATATGGACAGACACATAGACATAGATAGACAGACAAATACATAGACAGACACATACATATAGACATATAGAGAGAGACATAGATATAGACATAGACAGAGATATAGATAGATACATAGACATAGATAGACACAGACATAGACATAAATAGATACATAGACATAGATAGATAGACATAGATATATAGACATAGACATAGACATAGATATATAGACATAGGCATAGACACAGATATAAAGACATAGACATAGATATATAGAAATAAACAGATACATAGAGACATAGACATAGATACAGATACATAGATACAGACATAGACATACATACA